AACCCGAGCCGACCCTGCCAGACGCGAGAACCAAGACGATCCCACCGAGCCAGACGCAGTGGCCTTGACGGACGAGCCAGATGATCTGCAAGATGAACGTACCCGAGCCGGAGCTAACTCCACCGAGCGAACAGATCTCACTGACGATGAAGAAACTGAGAAAAATATATGGTGGGCCGAAGAATCCGAAAGAGAAGACGAGCTAAGCAAGATCCGAGCCTCCCTAGCCAAGGCGGAAGCTGATATGAAGCTCGTCAAAACCCAGATACATAGCGTTTCATCCTCCGCACCGAACATCGACCGAATTTTGGAAGAATCTCGGAATACACCTTTCACCAAAAGAATTTCCGAAACGACGATGTCCAATCTGGGAAAGTTCAAAATCGACTCTTACAACGGATCAACCGATCCAAAGTGCCACATTAAATCGTTCGTGATATATGTGGCCCGAGCCAGGTTCAGGCCCGGGGAGAAGGATGCAGGTCTATGCTTGCTGTTCGTGGAACACCTCAAAGGACTCGCATTATAGTGGTTTTCTAGATTGGAACGAAACTCGATTGACAGTTTCGACGAGCTGTCGACACTATTCCTCAAACAATACTCCATCCTCATCGACCCCGGAACCTCCGACGCGGATCTGTGGTCCCTATCTCAACAGCCCGCCGAACCGTTGAGAGATTTCCTCAAAACCTTCAAATCGACGCTAGCCAAGGTCGAAGGAATTACAGATGTAGCCGCTCTTTCGGCTTTAAAGAAAGCTCTCTGGTACAAGTCGGAGTTCAGGAAAGAGTTGAATCTGTCTAGACCGACAACAATTCGCGACGCGCTGCACCGAGCCTCGGACTTCGTCGCCCACGAAGAAGAGATGGCGTTGTTAGCAAAGAGGCACGAGCCAACGAAACAGGCGCCCCGAGCCGAGAAAACCGAGAAAGCCCAAGCGACGCCTCCGGTCCAGAAAAAGACATGTGAAAGCGGTACGTATACGCATCACGAAGGGCGTAATTTCTCAGGATACCATAGCTACCAGATTGACACGCCCCGAGGCCGTGGCCGCGGCAGAAGCCGAGGCCGTGGGCGAGGAAGAGAGTCCTTCACTTGGACAAGGGATCAACCATCGAGCAATGATCAAGAATATTGCGAACACCACAAAATTTTCGGCCATCATACCTCGAGATGCCGAAGCCTCGGAGCCAAGTTAGCAACCAAATTCCTAGCTGGAGAGCTCGGGACAAACGTTACTCTTAAGGACCTCGAGCCAGAACCAGAGCCCGAGCAGACCAACCCGGGAAGAGATCCCGAACCAAGGAACCAGGAGTCTCAGAAAAGAACCCAGGGGTCGGAAGACGAAGACCGAGATGGTACGCGGCAGAAGGTTCTTACCATAATGGGTGGATCGCCATACTGTCCGGACACCGTAGCGGCAATCAAAGCTTATCAACGCCGAGCCGAGACGCCTAGCAACTGGACAAGACGCTTCGATCGACCTAACGACCTGATCACATTCGAAGAAAGCGAGACGAACGGGCTCGACATGCCTCATAACGATCCAATCGTCGTCACATTAGCGATAGGAGACCATGATATTTACCATGTATTAATTGACACCGGCAGCACCATCGACGTAATCTTTCGCGAAACGCTCCGACAAATGAACGTCGACATGTCACAGGTGATTCCGACCCCGAGGCCTGTCCTCGAATTTTCAGGGGAAACTTTGATGACGCTTGGAACCATCCAACTACCAGTCCGAGCCGGCGGGGTAACAAAGATAGTCAACTTCTCAGTCACCGACCGACCTACCATCTACAACGTCATAATGGGAACTCCGTGGTTAAATCTAATGCGAGCTGTCGCATCAACATATCATCTGTGTGTCAAATTCCCGACCCCCAATGGCGTGAAAACGATCTAGGGCAGTCAGAAAAATTCTCGGATGTGTTTCATGGCAGCACACAAACTCCGAAACCCTGTCACTGAAGCGAAGGCTGAAACCGATCACAAGAAATCAAAACTTGGCCGGAGTGAAGAGAAGGCTATATCTAAACAGTTATAGCAATTACAGATCGAGGAGGCGCGCGAGGAGAAGAAGCCTACCTCGGATCCTGTAATCTCCATTAGCCTCGACGACGAACGGCCTGAACGATGCGTGGAAATTGGCAGCGACTTAACCGAGGAAATCAAGACCGAGCTCATCTCATTCCTCAAAGAGAACATCAACACCTTCGCCTGGTCGGCTGAAGATCTACCTGGGGTAAGCATCGACGTGATCTGCCACGAGCTGAATGTTGATCCATCTTTCAAGCCCATCAAGCAGAAGCGAAGAAAATTGGGCCGGGATCGCGCAGATGCCGTGAACGCCGAAGTTGAAAAGCTCCTGAAGATCGGCTCGATCTCTGAAGCAAGATATCCGGACTGGTTAGCAAATCCTGTCGTGGTTAAAAAGAAGAACGGCAAGTGGAGAGTCTGCGTCGATTTCACCGATCTAAACAAAGCTTGCCCTAAAGACAGTTTTCCGCTCCCACATATCGATCGTTTAGTGGAGGCAACCGCGGGAAACAAGTTGCTATCATTCATGGACGCTTTCGCAGGATACAATCAGATTCTCATGCACCCCGACGATCGCGAGAAGACAGCATTCATAACAGACCGAGGTATCTACTGTTACAAAGTCATGCCCTTCGGACTCAAGAATGCTGGCGCAACGTATCAACGGCTCGTCAACAGGATGTTCTCCGAACAGCTCGGGAAGACGATGGAAGTTTATATCGACGACATGTTAGTCAAATCCCTTGAAGAAAGCGATCACATAGCCCATCTACGCGACTGTTTTCGCCAGCTCAACAAGCACAACATGAAGCTTAACCCGGCAAAATGTCGTTTCGCGGTAAAGTCGGGAGAATTCTTGGGATATCTCGTAACTCACCGAGGCATCGAGGCAAACCCGAAGCAAATCGATGCTCTACTAAGCATGCCCTCACCACAGAACAAGCGCGAAGTCCAACGTCTCACCGGGAGAGTCGCAGCCTTGAACCGATTCATCTCGCGGTCCACTGACAAATGCCTTGCTTTCTACGATACTCTGCACGGGAACAAGAAATTCGAATGGACCGATCGCTGCGAAGAAGCTTTCCAGGAACTGAAGAAGTATTTGGCTAATCCACCGGTGTTAGCGAAACCAGTCCCGGGAGAGCCATTATTCCTGTACATCGCAGTCTCTGATACGGCTATAAGTGGAGTCATAGTCAGGGAAGACAGAGGGGAGCAGAAGAAGATATTTTATGTCTCGCAAACTTTCACCGACGCGGAAACACGCTACCCGCAAACTGAAAAGCTCGCCCTCGCCGTAGTAATGTCAGCTCGGAAGCTACGGCCATATTTCCAGTCTCACTCAATTGTCGTCATGGCGCCCGTATCACTCCGAACCATCCTGCACAGTCCGAGCCAATCGGGACGCTTGGCCAAGTGGGCGGTAGAACTCAGCGAGTACGACATCGAATACAGGAACAAAACATGCGCGAAATCTCAAGTCCTGGCCGATTTTATCATCGAGCTGCCAACAGAGAACGCCCGAGAAGAGTCACCCAACGCTGTTTGGATCCTCCACGTCGACGGCTCATCCTCAAAACAAGGTTCTGGCGTCGGAATCCGCCTCGCATCACCAGAGGGTGAAATCCTTGAACAATCCTTTCGGCTAAATTTCGACGCGACTAACAACGTGGCTGAGTACGAAGCGCTGATAGCAGGACTTAAGCTGGCTCGGGGACTTAAGATCAACAAGCTGCGAGCCTTTTGCGACTCCCAGCTCGTGGCTAATCAATTCAATGGAGAATACGCGGCTCACGACGAACGAATGGAAGCGTATCTTGCTCTCACGCAAGACTTGGCAAAACAGTTCGGAGAGTTTGACTTAACCAGAATCCCACGAGGTGAGAACACATCGGCCGATGCCTTAGCGGCTCTAGCTTCAACCTCCGACCCAAATCTGAAGAGAATCATACTGGTTGAGTTCATCGAAAAGCCGAGCATTGAAGATAATAGCAAGGATCAAGTTCTAACAGCTCGGGAACCGGAAGAAATGGACATCGAACAGCTAGACCAGCAAACTACGGACGCAACCGAGCCCGAATACGGAAGCGACGCCAAATGGATCGGAGCCATCCGAAGCTACATCGCCGATGGAGAAGTTCCTACTGAAAAATGGGCAGCTCGGAAGCTTAAGGCCAAAGCGGCTCGGTATACTCTGATCGACGGAGAGCTCTTTAAATGGCGATTTTCCGGTCCCCTCCTTATCTGTGTCGAAGGAAATGAAGCTCGGAGAGTCATGGAAGAAGTACACGGCGGATCTTGTGGAAACCATTCTGGCGGAAGAGCTGGCTATAAAGATCAAACGCCACGGATATTTTTGGCCGACGATGGTCAAAGACTGCGATCTTGTCCTTGTACACTGGAGTTTCGCTACGACTCCTCTTCTCCTTCCTAGAAACTCCCGAGCTATCAACTCGGGGCCTTTTTCCCCTAGTTCTGGATTTCGCCTCGGCGGCTAGAGCAGCAACGACCAGAGCCCCTACCACCTCGGGGACATTGGTCGTAGGGGAGATATGCCCAGCCACCTCGGGAACGATCAAAACCGTATCCCGAGCTTTGTCAGTTGCCTCGGCACCAACAACGACCTCAGGGTTGGCCTCGGGAGGAGTAGGAGGTCTGAAGTTTGCCTCCAAAACAGCTTTTTCCTTAGCCGCCTTATTTTCAGCAGCTTTCCTGGCTCTCAGAGATTGCGCAGCGCCCTGCATCTCGATAAGATGATCTAGGCGATGATCGGACGATTCGGAGGAAGACTGGCAGGGAGCTCCGTGTAGCAAACGCAAGGCTCTCTCGATTCTTTCCTGGGAGAAGTATTTTGTCCAATCGTACTTCCGAGCAATTAGTTCGTCGTGGAGATCTAGAAAACCTTCGGGAACGTCTTCGAGAAACAACGGGTTCCGATCTGCATGAACAAGAAAAACGTTCAAAAAAAAAAGGGGTTAAAGCAAAACGAAACAGCAAATACGGCTTCGGGCGTAGTACCGATTTGTCTCCATTTTCCAACAATTTTCCCTAAGAAGTCCTCGTGGACACTATACTCATTCACGGCTACGTAGAAGAAGTTATCGGTGTACTTCTCATCCTTGCTCGGGAAACCACCGATAACCCTCCTATTTGGCCTCGGAGATATGTAGAATCTCTCAACGGGGCCTGGTATGCGCCGGATCTCCAGGAGATTCCTCAAGTGGCTAAGGCCGACAATATTGACCGTCTCAATACTTCGGACTAGAATCCCCACTAGATGCCGCAGGCCTCGGGTCGTTATCTGGGATAGAGCAATCTTGTACGACCACAGAAACGCCAAAATCGGCCTCGGGATTGGAAGCCAAAGATAGCAATGGTAGAAGAACCCCTCATAAAGGGTGAAAAACCCCTCGGGCGGATCGTCTGCTCGCTCATTCGGAGTTGGAAGTCTTAGTTCAACCCCCTCGCTAAAACCGAACCGGGCCTTGAGATCCCGAAGGGAGTCCTCCGTGCATAAGGTGGAACCCAGGGGATCGGGTTTCCTAGCTTTCTTGGCTCGTTTTCTCTTCTGTTGACCCTTGGCTGCTTGGACTTTAGCTTGAAGCAACCTGGCCGCCTCGTCAGAGTCATAATGAACCTCCTCGGCTTTAATAGGAAGAAGAGACGCCTCGGGGGCATTTTGCCAGCGTGAGACTCCAGCTTCACCAACTGCCGGTGGATGTATCCCCCTCCTATTCAAAATCGCCTCGGGATCGTCAGGCAAATCCTGATCCCGAGCCACATTTGCAATCGCGTCTTCCCGAGCGATGAAACGGCTCGGGTCTTCTTCCCGTGAAGCCGACTCTGCATCACTACCACGGTGCAACACGATCTGACGGTCCGTGGTATCCGCCTCGGGGTCGCTCGAAGAACTCCAGACCATCTTTCTCTTGTAGACAGGGAGATGAGTGTCACCTCGGGGCGAATCACTGGAATCAGAGAGAGACATTTTCTGGCTCGGGAAATTGAAAAAGTTGATCGGAGGAACAAAGCTTGACAGATCGGAGAAATCAACCTAGGTCTAACGACGGTGACGCTACGACGGAAATATAACGGAAAAAGTAGAAAATGCAAGAACTCAAGATCAGAGAGAAGAGAACGAACCTTGAAATTTTTCCTTTGCAATTGCGAAATGAAAAAATAAGTCGGAGGCTTAACATTTATAGAGATTTAGGGCGCGTCGGGTACGAACGAGCCAAATAAAACACATCGTATCCGCGTCTAAGGCGCGTCGGGTACGCACGAATTGAGTAGGATACTTCGCATCCGCATGAATCTCGGGAATCAGCGAAAAGGCCTTTCCACTTCTCGAGAAGGAATCCCAACCGTCACACGCCAAGAGAAGGTGAAACGACAGGAATTCGAATCGCCAAAAAAATTTAAAGGGACCGAACTGTCCAAAGTAAACGGCTCGGCCTAATTGTCATAGAGCTCGTCACGCTTGGTTCCCCAAACTAACGAGCTGGGGGCTAACTGTTGGGGTCGGATTCCATCCTTTGGCGCCGAGCCAGACTTAGAACACCTCGGGAGTTTTACAGAGATCACCTCGGGATATCGCATCATCCACCTCGGGTTATCCACCTAATCGATTTAAGAGACCCGAGCCCAGTTGCTTCGGGGGTACCCGAGCCTAGTCGTCTCGGAGGTACTCGAGACCATCGCCTCGGGGATACCTGAACAAGACGTCTCAAGTACCCGAGCCCAGTTGCTTCGGGGGTACCCGAGCCCAGTCGTCTCGGAAGTACTCGAGCCTAATCGCCTCGGAGCGTCCGAGCCCACTCACCTCGGAGCGCCCGAGCCCGTCGCCTCGGGGTACTCAAACAAGCCATCCTAGAGTGCCCGAGCCATTCCTTCCTGTGTACCCGAGCCGGTTGCACAAGTTCTCCGAGGCGAAATCTTCATCATCACCCGAGGCAAAGACTTGGTAAATATTCACCTTCAAAGTATCATTTCCAAGTAAAGTATCATTTCCAAGTAAGGTATCATTTCCGAAGGATCATTTCCGATAGACCCGGAAATGATAGGGGAGAATCTCGAAAGATCAACTCAAATCAGGAAACCCCCGAAAAATAAGGAAACTATCCTAATCCGCGATATTCTGAGCCGACTTCAAGATAAATGGAAATCTTCCGAGAATATCGCTGGAGAGGCGGTTTATCACCTATATATAAAGAGACTCAAGGCTCAAGCAAAAAACAAGCAACATCGCTCTAGAATTTACACTACGCAAAGCTCTCACAGCACAAACACCTTTTTCTTTTACGATCAAATTCTTGTACGATCAAAGTCATCTTTTTCTTAATAATATCAAGAACACCATCTTTGGTATCAATTGATTATGTCGTTCTTTGAGAATTCTCGCAAATCGTATCCCTAAATTAAAACCCTAGACAAATCTCGATTGTGTTAGTTTCGACTTCCACACCTTGATTCATGCAACTGTCAAGAAACAACAAGTCAACAAGTTTCAAAAGCTTATCACAACTGGAGAGTGGAGAATTGTGGAAAATTTTACAGTTGCAAAATCTACTGGAAAGTACCGGCCTACCAGCCTCCCATTCAAGATGACCCTCATGAATACGACTGCTATAAGTCGTATTCCCTCAATTTCTGATGACCTTTACTTTGATTTTGCTAACTTTCCTGACATTATGAATGTTAATGGATTGAATGAAAACATTTTGATTGGTATTTTCCATTCTGCCTATTTCTTTCTATAGTGTTTAAATCTTAAGAAAATAACAAACTAACATCATTTCATATATTTACAGATGTTCTTGGTCAGGTCGTGAGTTTAGGTGAGATGACAACTCACGATGTCAACAACAAAGCCACCAAAAGATTTGAGTTTGAGCTGCGTGATACAAAGTTTGTAATCTATTTACTCTTTTAATTTTTACAAACAACTGTCTATTTTTAAAATACAAAGTCTGTCATTTGTCTATTATAGTGATGAACGCTTGACATGTACTCTTTGGGGGAGATTTGCTGAGAGAATGTGGGATGCATGTCAAAATGGAAGCAATGAAAGGGTCATTTGTTTGATTCGCCTTGCTAAAATTGGTACATTCAAAGGTATATTGATTAGGTTTTTGGACGTGTGGATGCTTAATATGTTTATATTATTAGTATATATTACTAATATATTGCAAATTTATCAGGTGAAAGATCTATTTCAAATGCCTTCAACATGTCTTTGTTGGAAATAAATCCAAACTATCCTGCTGTCCAAGAATTTGTGAACAAGTAAGTTTGTGAAAAAACTTCTAATATACCTCAAGGCCATGCTTTTCACATGGCCAACTATATGTGGCTATCTCAAGGGTAACTTGAAAGAAAGGACTGAAGATCCTAATAGTGGATAAAGAAGGCAAACCGCAGAAGGAAACGATGAATGTGGTGTTTAAGGAAGTTTTCCAGAACCTATAAGACTAAGCGTTGGAAGAGACATTTGTTCACAGAGGTAAGAACCAATATGAAATGATTCTTATATTTATCTGTTATACTATACGAGTTTCTGATTTCTTTATGTCTGAGCAGGTCAAACAATGTATGAAAACGTGTGTTTGGCAAATAAAAGAATCAGTGATTGAAGTTTCAAGAGAAGAACTGATACCTAACCCTACTGTTTCTGTTATTTTCATGTTTTCTTTTTACATGAATTCGAAGACATATCTAGCTTATAACAGCTTAACTTTGTTTTTCAAAAGTTTTCTGTCCTAATACCTTCATATTCAGTAATATGAAGTTAACTATTTCCTATTTATAAGTAATAATGGTTATTATTGCTAACCAAACAGTCCGATCAATTATAATATCTCACAACTTACTACTTCTATTAACAAACAAATGCAGAATAAAGCTCCAACAGCATCACAAGAAACGAAATTACTGTTTAAAATTTCTGACATAATTAATTTGTAAGTATTTTATCTACACTTATTCAACCAAATTTGGAAATCAATAGAGTAGGTCTATATTGTTATCACCTAATCAAAAGTGTTATGTTTAATATCTTACTAACCTTTTAAATATAGATCTCTGAAAACCTCCAATTACAACACCAAATCTCTTCCCTCCTTAAGAATCCAACTTCAAACCGATCATTTGTCTGCAGATTTTTAACAGTTATCAAAGTTTCATTAGTACAACCATATAAATCATTCTAAAGACTAAGAAACATTGCCGTTTAAAATTAAACGGATTCTACCAAATTATATTTCAAGAATGCTCCAAATTGAACTGTTACTGCTTCAGCTCCATAAGAATTATGTGCGCAAAATTGTACTTCGCCTGCAAACATTGAACTTTGTATCATGAATCTAACATTCAGCTAAAGAATAATGAAGCAGGAGCATTTTGCAATAAAGTGCTCAAGTTATACAATAATCTGGATAAAAAAACTTATCTTCGTTATTCTTCTTCTTTTGAGAAACCATCGAAATATGGCTACTAATCTGAAACAAGTATAAAAACAAAAAAAGATTATAGATTTACAGCTTAAAAGATATACTGAAATTGATTAGATTTAGTCTATTAACACTATGAATTTTGAGAAGAAACAGATTGATTGACTAACTAACATGTTTAAACAAAACGAAAGATGTAAAAAAATTGCATGCAATTAGATATGAAAAAGGTAATAATTAATCAAATTTTTGAAGGGTTATTCACAATCGTTGTATAAGATCTATAATGAAACAAGAAAAAATCTATGGTAGAAACCCAATCGACAGATTCCAAAAAAGTTCAAACAAAAATCAAAGAGAAGAAAAGCTTACCTCTTTTAAGATCTTATAATTTGCAAAGAATTGATGTATAAGCGAAGACGATGGAAGTGGATTTCGGATGGATTTCGATACAGCTTCGTCGATCGGCCGACAAAGATTATTTTCTCAGATTGGAAAATTGTCGAAGGTTTCAGACAAAGAACAAAAAGGAGTATCTTCCCAGATAAAAAAAAAACATAATATGAAATAATGTCAGGACCAATATTTGTGTGTTTTACGGCCCAACACAAATATTTATGATGAATGTATATGGCCCATTACGACAAATATCTTGAATTTGGACCAAGAAAAAAAACAAAATGTGACCATGTTAGTGTAAAATTGATATTAATCATTATAAATTAATAGTATAGAGTTGTATCAATATAAAAAAATTAATAGTATAGATTTGATATTTTTTCCTTACTATACTAATTACTAAACACAGAAATTATGTTACAAAAAAAATTTAATTTAACAAGGTAATGTTTTGTAATACCCAACTATTTTTATACAAAATATACCGGAATACATATGTCTCGAACGATTTGATCAGTTCCCAATACTAATATATTCAATCCGGTAATTTGTTACATAAATCTATTTTAAATAGTCATAACAAATTCAAACTGATACACACATTCGAAACCTAGATGTCATAAATTTTATACTAGAAAATCGTATGGTACAAAAACCCCGCACGTACGTGCGGGTCTTGATCTAGTTTTTTATTTAATAGAGTATGATATTTTGTTTACGAATTTATAGTTACATGATATTACAAATGGATAGATTAGAAAAATGGTGATATTAATCTAAATTAATAGATAAAAATAATAATCTAATATCTAACCTCTCATATTCTCTATTTAGGAAAGCTATTACAAGTTTTTCAAAATAAAAATTAATTGCTAAATTAACAGCTGTCAAATAAGATGAAATAAAAAAATATACATGAGATAATATTAAGGCCCTGAATGGGCGACGCGGGAGAGAGCGGAAGAAGTGTGGATCTATAATTATGTTACCATTCATGCATATGAAAACGTCATTTGCATTAATTAATAAAATATTACTAGAAAGAGAAGTCAAACCACAGACACAGACACAGACGGTTGAAATACAAAGAGAATTGTTGGAACGCACATGATTATGGATATACAACAAATATGGTGCGGTTTAGTGCGTATCACTTTTTATGTTGTGTTATAAATTCAAAAAAATCAAAATAATTTTTTATCAAAATGAAAACACTAACATCTTTTTTTTCTTTATATCATTTATACATAATTTCATATAATTATTTCTAAATATTTATGTAAAATATATATTTCGCACCGTTTTTTAGATTTCACCATTCAAATATTTGAACTGTACCGCATATTAATTTTTCACCATTCATATATTGTTCTGCACCGCTTGTTACGCATAATGCGTTTTTTTAAACCATACCGCAGTAAAACCGCACCGCACCTCTAGAATCGCTTGTTTCGCACTGTCCAAATCGCTGTCACCATTCGAAGCCTAAATCAAGGGAGAAGTAAGTTTATGGGGATATTATAATTGTTATCAGTTAATTCATGATTGGCTACGTTATGGAGTTACTATAACTGTTACATGTTAATTTAGGGTCCGCACTTTATATAGAATGAAAGTGGCCTACAAGTTTGTTTTGGCTAGGAAGGGGTTAAATGTTTAGTAAGGAGTAAAATGGTTCCGTGAACACATTAGTTATATTGTCAAGTTAGAGGATAAAATTTAAGTTATTAGGTATCTCGTTTAGTAGTGGATTAAATAGTTGAATGTAAAATAGGATAACATGTTATCTCGTACATAATTGGATAATATGTAGGTTAACAAAAACTGTTGCCATACTTCAAATATTTTTTTATTATATTTTTGATAAAGACCATACTTAAAATATTATCCGGTAAGATCATATTTCAAATATTTAGGTTAACAAAAACTGTTGCCATACTTCAAATATTTTTTTATTATATTTTTGATAAAGACCATACTTAAAATATTATCCGGTAAGATCATATTTCAAAGTTAGCAGGTAAATATAAGTTTTAGATAAGTTTATTAAAAGTTAGCAGATATGTACATTGTTATCAGGGGCAGAAAGTTATGTTGTCAAGTTAGAAGGTAAAATGTAAATTATTATGTTAAACGACTGTAATTGGGTTAAATAATAAAAAGTAAAATACACAAAGAAATAACGAAATGAGCATTTATCATATGTTACATCGCAAATAAATCAGGTAACACGTAAGTTAGCACGTAAGATCATATATTTTCAAGTTAACATATATATATTTAGTCTCAAATATATAACAAGTTAGCAGATACATACATTGTTATCAGGAACATTAAGTTTAGGGAAACTAAATGCAGAGAAAATATTAAACTTAGAGGGCATTAAAAATTCCGAAAAAAACTGTATGACAAGTTACTTGGTACAAATCTATACTATCAATTGGGAATCATTGGAAAATAAATAACCTCATAAAGGGTAAAGAATTACAATGGATGCCATTAGAAATTTTTCAATCTATGACTAAATTAAAGGTTTTGTAGAAGGATAAAATGGACAATCTGAATGACACTAACACGCAGATCTTGGATCCATTAGTCGGATCTCCATTCAGATAAACACGCGGATCTCGGGTCTACACTCGGTAAAACACGCGGATCCTAGCAGGATTGATTTGTATCCGTAATTATCCTATTGGGGTTACGCTCAATAGGCCCGATATAAAGCTCTTGCGTTTATGATCCGTATCTACAATAATTAAAGAAAATAATAATTCGATTCAATACCTTTAAATATATTACCATAACAAGCAAAGCAGAATAATATCACTCTTCTTATATTTCTATAACAACCAAATCCCATATATTCCGATCATTAAAAGCAAATTTATTTCTTTATATTCCATTTTATTTATGAGTTTTTACCACAAATAACAAAATCCTTTTATTGAAATATTCAATTATGAGTATTACCAAAAAAAATATCTTTATGAAAATAGGAACAAATCTAGCATATTCCTTATCTATTCTTGATCGAGAATATTTTAGCAATTAAAGTTTAAAAAATTAGATTCAATTGCTTCAAAATCATTCCATAACACCTAAAACTATAAATTCAAATTTTAAAAAATCAGTTCACGAATAATTCTATACAAAACCAATCCCAAATATTTCCTATATTTGAAGAAAACTAATTCATTGATATTCAATTTCATTTATTAGTTTTTATTTAAAATAACAAAATCTCTTCAAATCCATTTTCAGTTGTAAATTTTACCCAAAAAAAATCATAACAGCTATACAAAATGATTCATTGTTCTCTTATTTTTGCAGATGTACTTGGACAAGTTGTTAGTTTCAATGAGATAAAAATTCATGATGTCAACAATAAGATCACAAAGAGACTTGAGTTTGAACTCAGAGAAACCAAGTAATTTCAGATATGCTATTCAAAAAGAGTAACAATAGCTAAATATTATTATAGACTAAACAAAAGTTGAATCCTTAACACCTCACTAACCTGATTGTTGCTGCGAGATTTTGGTAAGATTGCTAATCGACATAAACTTTGTCTCCTCCAAAAGAATTAAACTTGAAAATTATGCTTTCCCTGTATTTGAAAACATATTTTCTTAGATAATAATTTTATGAAAACTTATCTTTGTAAATCGTCTTCTTTTGGCAACATCATCATCTATGTTATTATCTGAAATCAATTTAGAAACAACTTAAATGTTTACACGTTTCAGAAAACAAAATCTATTGTTAAAATCTTTAAACAAGCCAATTTTGAAATCTATTAACCCATGGCACTGAAGATTTATGTTGATAGATTGATTTACTCCGTTAAATTCCAAAATACAGTAAATCAATTTGGGATTTGTTTATAAAAATTATTGAAATCAAAATTTCATTATATAATTTGCAATACTTACTCATGCAAGTTCGGGTTCTTCAAAGCCATCGCCCAAGGTCTCTTTTCCAAAAAAGAATTTCAAAGATTGAAAATCGAATCGACAAATTACAAAAAAAATTGTTCTCTAAACCTGAATCAATAAAAATCTTACCTCTTTCTAGAATTTCAAATCTGCAATGGAAATTTGATAAAAAAAAAGATGAAAAAGCTTGATTATAAGATTATTTCGTAATTGATTCTTAGATCGAACAATCGTTTGAGATTTTTAGGGTTTGGTTAATCTATCACCGATAAGCATATGTTGTCTCGACATTGATCTGTCCAAAATAAAAAATAAACATAAGTAGTATATTTAATAAAATAAAAGAAACGAATAGATGGATCGATATAAAAAGTATTATTAACTGGGTCTCAATGTATTTCAGCCCAAAATTAAAATAAATCTTGATTTAGTCATGGGCCACTATATTTTGATTTGGGTCAAACGTATATACTAATTATCAATGTATCAACTATCAAACAATAATTTTGCATTATCAAATTAATTATTTTACATTTTTAAACACTATAATATTCTATTAAAAAATCATAATCAATAATCAATATTACAAATATTTCACACCAATTCTGCAACTTTCCAAATAATTCACCAAAACCAAACAAAGCTATCCAATTATTTACCAAAACAAAATTATTAAATTCTTACTTATCTTTCTATTCAAAATTTAAAACCAATCAAACATAAAACAAATTTTTGGACCAAATTTTATTTTAAACACAGAAAATTTGATAATACATTTAAGTTTATAATATTACGTACGGTATCTATTTTATTATCTTATCTCCAAAAGAAAAAAAAATTAATTAGTTACATACCACATAAAAACAAACGTATTGACTACATATGTTATACAACACATATCTTAAAATATGAAATCTCGCACGTACATGCGGGTCAGGGTCTAGTAAGGGTTAAAGAGGAAGTTAACCCATAATAGGGTATCTGGTATTTATCCTCTAACCTTTGAATTGTGTAGTACTGATTAAATTTTATGAGACCCGTAGTTATCCTTGTAATGGATTTAAATTGTTGTTATCCTTTTCTTTACCTAAAAAATTGCTAGTGTACAAAAACTAAAATCAATAATGTAATCAGTACAAAGATTTTCTTAGAAACAATCTTACATTATTGGGCAATCTCTGTAGCAACAATGTAAGAATATGTCAGTTAATTATGAAATTTTCTTTGGTTAGCTTGTGTAGATTTTCTTAGAAACAATCTTAGTACATATTCAAATAAGCTATAAAAATCGATGAGATGTTTTTATACAAAATATAAGTACAAAGATTTGAAAATATTTCTCTCGCATTAACTCTAGAATAAGTCTCGCTAATTCAAATTATATATAAAGTACTTCTATAGATAGCAACCAAAAAAAGTCTCTCTTCCCAAAGTTTTTTTCTAATGTTTTTTTTTATTATTTATTTTTCTACCATTTTATCAAATTTTTACTATTTACAGGACACCATGGCATTGCACATCCATGAAAGTTACATGAGCATATGAATATAAATTAGATAATGGTCTGTGCTATAGCTCAGGTTGATGTTGATATGTCTATAATTTGCATGTTTTATACATCCATTTATCACCATTCTGAGTCTAGTTTCATTCATCTTTCATAGCATTCATCATCATTTCGCATAATTTGCATGTTTAAGTGTGTCGAGCATTAGTC